GGAAAGAGATATTGGGTTGTCAGGAAAGTTATGATGCACCTTTGCATAGAGAAAGATAGAAAAATATGTCATGACTTTCCCCAACAACCTAATTACTTCAAGAGTTGTGAACCAAGGTTTCAGTAGTTTCATGTATGACGAAGTGAGCCAGGTCAGAGACAACAGGGAACAGTGGGGACTGTGGCAATTTGGAGAAAACACCACCTGTAAAGGAGGCAGTTATCATTTAACTCCAGCCAGTCAAGAGGTGAAATCTGTGAGTACAATTTTGCTACCTTTTGATTTTTCAAGAGAATCCTCAAATAAAGATTTTCTTTTTTTTTTAAAGTATTATATATTTCATTTTATTTCTTCATTCATTTATTTTAATTTGACAAGAGAGAGACACAGAGAGAGAGCGCGAGCGAGAGAGAGAGAGAAGGAAAGTGAGAAACCAAGCCACCAGGTTCTGGACTCAAACTATGGTCAGCCATGTGGAAGTGTCCAGTGCCTTAACTACCACACCACCTGCTGGTCCCCTCAAATAACAGTTTTTATACAGGGACCAGCATTTGGCTGGTCTCCCATGTAGTCGACCGCGGTTTGAGTCCCAGACCCAGTGGCTTAAACTCACGACGGGCGCATGTGCGTGCGTGCCCAAGATTCCGAGAGGAGACTGGAGGAGAAGGGATTGTGGTGTGGCCATCTCCCTGGGGGTGGGGGGGGCGACTTCTTGCTTTCTATCTCTCTGTCTCTCTCTGTCTTTCTGGAGAGCGCATGTGCCCTATAGCAAAAACCTCTCCCCTCAAAAAAAGGTTTTATATGAAATCTATTTTTAAAAAGAGAGAGAGAGCTGGCCTTATAGCCTAGTGGTTAAAGGAGCCAGATCTCACATGGACAACCATAGTTTGAATCTTACTCCAGCAGCTTGAAAAACATGCTGGATGCATGGGTGCGCATGCTCCAAATCCCAACGGGTTGGCGATATGGAGGTGAAGAGATTGTGGTGTGACCACGCCCCAACAGTGGGTGCTTTTGTTATAGCAGAAATGAACAGGGAGTCCCAATATGTCAACAAAGGAAAAATCTAACACATCAATCACTTACCAGGGATCATGGTGAGACTTCCTGGCATCAAGAGAGGAGAGGTTGTCTATCTATATCTATCTATATTTTTTAAAGAATTATTTATTTAATTTTAACATCATTATTATTTTTAAAAATTTGCTACAGGGCACATGCACTCACCACAGAGAGAAAGAGAAAGTGAGGAAGGAAGCCACTAGGTCTGGTACTTAAACAACCGCTGGCCGTGTGGGAATCCAGTGCCTTAACTACCACACCACCTGCTGGCCCCAAGGTTATCTGCTTTTATCACCTCAGCTTGCTTGCTTGCTTTTTCTTTCTTTCTTTTTTTTTTTTTAAAGATTTATTTATGTACTTAATTCCATTTGTTATTATTATATTTTAATTTGACCAGATTGAGAAAGGGAAAGCAAGAAAGCAAGCCAGGACTCGCACCGTGGTCGGCCACGTGGGAATCCAGTGCCTTTAACCACCATGCCACCTACCAACTCCACCTAAGCTTTCTTTAGATCACCTAGAAAAGATTTACAATCTTCCCTCCTTCAGTTCTACATATGCACACAGAAATTTTCCAGGTCAACATCCCACTTTCCACTCAGGGCAATAAACTGATACAGACATAATCATCCTTAAGCATATGCTCGTATCTTCAAAGTCTACACTGGTCATTTGTACTGACTCCCCAACCAGGTAAAATAATTCCCTTACCTAAGGAGAAGTACACAAGTGTAACAGAAAGCCTGTGGATTCAAACAAAAGAGCCAGCTACAGTGACAGACCTCCCCTCCTAAATACTCATGACAAGACCCCACAATAAAAGCAACACCTAACCCATTCCCAGTGCAGCTGTCCTCTTCTGACAGCTGCCCATGCGTGCACCATTCTGGCACAGGGTGTCTGTTTTCTGTTAAAAATCTCCACTTTCCTGGGACCACCAGGTGGAGTGGTAGTGAAGGCGCTGGACTCCCACATGGCCAAACATGGTTTGAATCTCAGACCTGGTGGCTTGCTCTCTCACTTTCCACCTCTCTCTCTCTCTTTGTCTCTCCTTGGTCAAATTAAAAAATAATGATAAATAAAAGAAATAATTCTTTAAAAAATAGTTTTAAAAATTCCACTTTTCTATGAAAAACTGATCTTTTCCTACTTTAGTTGCAGGTATGGCTTCGTTCTGTGTCTCAGGGCGGGTCTCTAACCTTAGAGGCCTGGACCCAAAGAACAGAGTTTGCACAACGCAGCTTCTCTCTGTCTCTGTCGGATAACACTTTCTTCCTCACCCCTCCTCTCTAGTGAGCACATGGGCCCTGGGGCAATTAAAATGGCATAATGGTTACATTGTCGCTGGACTCCCACGGAGTTAACTGTGGTTTGAGTCCCCGACCTGGCAGCTTGAAACTTACACTGGGAGTGTGTGCCCAAGATCCCAAGAGAACAGAGGAAAAGGGATTGCAGCATGGCCATACCCCAGGGGGGGTGATTTCACTCTTTCTGTTTGTGAGCTTCTCTCCAGTGAGGATAAGCACCCTAAAGCAAAAATCTCCCTTTAAAGAACAAACAAAAGAAAACACAAATAATTATTTAAAAAAAAAAAAAAGAGTTGAGATCCTTACATTGGTGATAACCTGGGTGCAGCCTCTTTGCAGCCCCTGAGCCAGGAAATCCACAGTAGATCATGAAGGATTATAGGGAGTATTTCTAATTCATGTGGAGAAACCAAGGCCCAAAGTATTCTCAGCTTCTAGCTTTTCCTCCATTTAGTAGTTTCCAGAGGAACAAGAGGCCTTTCACACAAAGGCTGATTTTCACATCGGGCCCAGGCAAGCTTTTTCCTGGAGGGCTTGGTTTCCTCATTTGTAAGGGGAAGTTGTGTTGGGCAGTTGCCTGGGGTTACTAGTGCGGGGGGGTTAATTAAAGTTTGAAAATTACTTTGAAGAGTCCCAACGTCCCAAAGCAGATGCGCTAAGTAGACCCAGCAAAGCTCAGAAGGAGATTTCAAAGGGCTCGTTCCTTAAAGCGTACCACTGAGATGCCCCACCCCATTCCCATATCCAGGGGGCCTTATGTCCGAGGGAATATGAACAGGTAGCTGCCCTCTGCTGTGGGAATCCCTGTCTCCCAGCCAGCCTGTCCCTTCTGTCCGCCTTTCCTTCCTTGCCCAGGTACTTAGTGGCTCCTTCTAAATGCCAGTCAAGCACTAGAAATACATCTTGGAAGCTTGCAGCCCAGCAAGGACAATAGAGTCAGAAATTATACGTGCGGTGTACGTTAAAAGATGGGACTTGGGCCCAGCAGGTGCCATGGTGGTTAAGGTGTTGGAATTCCCACATGGCTGACCACAGTTCAAGTCCCGAACTTGGTGGCTTGCTTTCTCCCTCTCCCTCTCTCTGTCTCTCTTCCTCTGGCAAAACTCATGTGAAAAAATAATAAATAGGGGCGGGCAGGCGGAGGGCCCTGCTCCCGTACTGAGCGAAGGCGGCGGGCAGGCGGAGGGCCATGCTGCGGGCCCACCTGGGCCCTGCGCGGGGCCGCGCCCACCCCGGGACCGAGCCGAGCGGGGTGGCGGCCCTCCACCCGGGGCTCTGCCCGGCGTTCAGCTGCCTCTCCCGGGCGGGCG